ATATAGCCTAAAGGGAACAGACACTAACATTCATATAAAATTCATCACAAATTGTAATATTTTCCCCCCTTGGGATGGATACAGCTTTTGTGAATAGGGCTTTACTGCCACCTCCTGGAATATGCTTTGGCAGAGCCCAGGAATTAACTCTCCTTCAGTAACTTCTGCCTGGTCCCACAGCAGCGACACCATCCCTTTGGTGCAGCAGTGATGTTATCCTTCAGTTCAGAAGTGCTTATTGCTCATCCTATTTTCTGCCCAAGACCCAAGAGAGAAATTGGGTTCTGTCCCCTTTCTTTCTTCTGACTAGACTGCATTTCTCAGTATTAATTTTTAATCCATAACAATCTGATGTAGTCATATTATATACAAATATTGCCTGCATTTGACATTTCCCTTTATTTTCAGAGGTAGGAAAAAATATCTACAGAGGGAAAACTCTCCAATATTTAAGCTCAAATATGCTTTGATCTCTTCTTTTTCAGAATCTTTTATATATTTACCTCACAAGAATTTAAATAGCCACTGATCATACAGAAAAAGATTTTAAAGATGTAAAAATATTGCTAACATCAGAAATAGCCAAGTATAAATAAATGAGATCAGGTTGACTGAAATAAAATTTACTGACATATAATAAATTATTATTATATTTTATAAATTATATAATTATAATTACAAATCATTATATAATAAAGAAAATGCATTAATCTTTGCTAGGGGCTGGAGAGATGGTTCAGTGGTAAGGAGCACTGCCTGCTCTCCTAGACCTGAGTTTCGTTACCAGCACCCATGTGTCAGCTCACCACAGGCACCAGGCACACACTTGGTGCACAGATATCCATACAGGCAGAATATCCATACACATAAAATTATGATAATTTTAAAATAACAAAAATAAAAATGTTGTGTAAGAAAAGTATCTATTTACCTAGTGAGAATCTTTTTGGAGGAAAACTTGGCAGAATCACTCAAAACTAAAATGAAGCATACTTTTTTCTTTTTTTTTAACATGGTTTTACTGTGTCATCTAGGCTGGCCTTGAACTCACAGAACTCTCCTGCAAACCTTTTGTAGCTTTTAGTAGTCAAAAATACTGACCTCTGGGGACATCTGTAATTGTTCCTCCAACACCTACCCTTGCCTTCACCACATTGTAACAGCTATGTGGTTCTGTAGATATGTTGTCACTAGCACAACCCATTGGGTATAATCCCATTTCCTTTCATTTATGATAATTAAGGAAAGAAAATTTAGCAGAAAATCAGTACAGTAGCCATCGAGTGAAGCTTTGCTTAATGACTAAGGGAACTTCCCATTTCTTCCTTTAGAAGTGGGTAAGGAAACAAGTAACATCAGGAGTCTATGCACCAAAAGCTCAGATAAGCTATTAAAACTTACTATTTTATGTGTACAGGTATCTTGCCAGAAAACGGCATCCCCTGAAACTAGAGTTATAGACAATTGTGAGCTGACATGTGAGTGCTGGAAATTTAACCCAGATCTTCTGGGAAATCACCCACATCTTGTAGCCACTGAGCCATCTTTCTAGCCCCAGTTCTATTACCTAAATAAATGTCTTATAAATTATTTTCTGCTGTAAATAATCATAACCATAATTTATGTCACAAATGCTAATTGGCTTTCTTAATAATAAGTTCTTTAAGCTGCCTTAACCTATTTACATAGAAAATATGAGTGGTAGTTCTGCCTTCAGTTGCTAGTCTTATTGCTACTCTAGTACAGAAACACATTAATATGCTCCCGGTCCAATCTTGAGGGACAAGGAAAAATCACCATGGCAGTGACACTATGATATTCTTGTCCACTGACTGGAGGCCTCACCCTACCCTAGTCTAGAAACAAGAAAACTGTGGTGAATTGGGATACAGTGTTTTTGTTCCCCTGATCCTATCTTGCTAGCTGACATAGCTCTCCCAGAATTTTACTGGAACCTTTCTCACTTCTACAAAAAATGATCTTGCATGAATAGTGGGGGGGGGGGACAATTTTTCATGAAAAATAAAGTAAAATGATATTTTTGTTTTAAAGAATGTTTTCAGTGAGTAATGTATCAGGTGTCCAAAACTAATGTTATACCTTGAGGAGCCAATGCCTCCTCAGAGGCAGTTCTTAGAGGAGCGCAGTAAGCAGCAGACACACCTGAGGCTCAGTTACATCCTCAAGTTATTTCATGTTTGAAGCTCAGAAGATGGGAAAAAGTCATACCAATTAAAAAATATATGGGAACATAACTTTTATACAAGTAGAAGACTTAAGGGTTTCTTTCTGAGGTAAACACACTCAACAAAAACAATAGCGGAAAACAGTTTGACTCACTAGATAGGCCTAAACACTGTAAGGGCTCCGGTGGCCTTTGCTCCCCAGCTCCCTGGTTGCATGAGGAGGCCTTAAAACAACTCAAGCACATTTTTCAGTCTAGTCTGACCAACAGCTTAATAAAAATCCAGCCATATATGGTACTAAGATTAAAAACAAGCAGAACTTAGAGTCACGTAAGAAGGTGCTTCCATGGGCTGGAGAGATGGCTCAGCGGTTAAGAGCACTGACTGCTCTTCCAGAGGTCTTCAGTTCAACTCCCAGCAACCACATGGTGGCTCACAACCATCGGTAATAGAATGTGATGCCCTCTTCTGGTGTGTCTGAAGACAGCTACAGTGTAAAATAAATAAATAAATTTAAAAAAAAAGAAAAAACAAAACAATAAAAGAACTTAAAAAAAAAAAAAAAAAGAAGGTGCTTCCATGTTCCCTCTTCAGTGGGAATCCTGACATTCCAAACATACACACAAACCCAGGCTCTAACCAGGGCCTGAGCCTCTCACCAGACAGTTGCCAACTCTCACCAACTCTTGCCAGACAGTTGTTATAAAATGTTATTTTGTTACAATGCTGTCTACTTATATCAACAATTGTACAAGAAAAATTAACTTGCTACCCCTATTTCCAGAATCTCTATAAAAAGAAAGAGGGAAAAAATTAACTATTTCAATTTTATTTATTAATACCATACACTGGTATGTATATTATTTATAAACTCTTAATATAAATTAAAACCATTTATCGTGCTTAGTTAGACAATATTTATTAATTTTAAAATGCAGGTGGGCACAGCAAGCCCACCATATCCCAAAAGTACATAAACTGATTTCACATTAGCATGTTTACATAAATCACATTCTTGTAGGAAGAGACTAAACACCCACGCATTGAAAAAAGAGAAAATATGTTGGTTTAGTACCTAGAGACTTCATCTGAACAGTGTTTACTCCTTTAGTTCCATACCAAGGTCTAGCAAAATATGATCTTCAGATATCAATAAGGCCTTAAGAAGTGATTTTTAATCTCTTAATTGTAAACTTCATATAGTATCTTAATAGGCCAAAGATACCAAACTCAAACTATAAAGTAGCTGACGCAGACCCCCCCGTCGTCAGGCTGACATTTTCACATTGGCCTTTACACGAGAACAGCCCTGAAATTAGCTGGGTGCCATTCAGCTTTGAGTACTGTCTCCTCCCCATGCTGCTAGCTGCTGGCAATATTTTTCAAAATAACACTAAATAATGGTATTTTAGTAGAAACTCTATTATGACTGATACAGTGAGTTTTATCAGCATGTTAGTCTTACTAATATAGGCAAACCCTTGGCCAGAGGTTTAAAATACAGCTTTTAAATAAAAATCAACATTTATTCAACTATTACCAAGAGATTTTTTTTTATATTGGAACCCTTTATTTTGCCTCATCCTGAATGTCTACTCTAAGTGTCCAAGTTTAAGATTTTGTTTTTAAGTCGCCCAGCGGAATGAAGAATTCTTATTCAATTCTTAGGCTAAGTTCTAGTCAACAGCTTTTTTTTTTTTAATTCCACTAGTTGGTTAACACAAAATCACTACACAAATTCGGGCCCCTAAACAACTATTTTCTCAAATGACAAATGGGGAGCATGGCTGGAAACCCAGACACTAAGACCCTAGAATGAAAATGGTCTAATCCTCCCACCTAAGAGGTTGTAAAGCTATCCATCAGAAAGCATATGTGGAATACCGTAAATGACTTTCCACCTTGGAAAGACTTTTGGGTAAGGCTAAGCATTTGAAGTAATAGGGCAATAGGAACTTCTGTGGGTTGTCCACTATCAACCTCAAACTATCAGAGACAAGAGTGGACTCCATCAAAGCCTCCAAAAGCCTCTTTGGTTGGGTGGCTCAGTGGCAACTAGTCTAGCCAGGAGAACCAGACAGACTGCCAGGCAGCTTTGCACCTGTCTCTTATTTTTATATTTTATACCTTTTTCCTCAAGGAGAAAAAGCTCTTCACTCAGAGGTGTATCCACAAAACTCTCGACACCGAATCCATCATGTCCTTTCATGCAGAACATTAGCACCAGAATCTCTCAATACAGAAGACTAGCCAACACCACAGTCGTTAGTAACAAAAGGATTCTCTGCCAGATTCTCAATAGCACAGTTCTTAGATCAGTAGAGACCATCAGTCAACAATGACAGAAAACAAAGACACACGTCTAACCCCGACTACAGTCTCGCACCACTCTAATGCCTAGAAACAAGCTTTTAAAATGTGTTCTTATAGTTAAAGAAAACTTTTCTCTTATAGATCCTAGCTTTTTTTCATTTTCTTCAACTGTAAACATTTATATAGATAATATACAACATTCAATGCATAAAATCATGACCTTTTATAATGATTCTCTCTTTTTTTTTACTGACTTTTAATCTCAGATAACTTTAAATACACAATCTACTAATATCAAATACACATTCATGTAACAGGAACCATGTCACTATTGTTTCATGGATAATATCTTGAAATAGCATCATAGGTTGGAAAGGTGAAGGGGCACTTGTTCAGTCTTCCTTTGAAGTCTTTGGAAGTCTGTCTTCCCTTCTTCTGCAAAGCCTTTCTTAGAAAGCGTAGGTTTCCAGAAGGAAACAGTCAAACCGCAGATCTCCTCTGGGCATCAGTACTCTCGTGCAAGAGGACGTCATCTCAAGTGCTGGCAGCATCTAAAAGCAGGATACACACCAACACTTTACCAGGATCTTTCTGGAAGCTGACTGTTACATCACTTACTTTCTCATACTATGTTCGTACTACTTGCATTTGCTGTGTAGTCTAAGAAACTTCAATACTTTGAAGACAATCTTTAAGATAATTACCAATGTAAACAATCATGTGTAGCATACTGTCTCATTTTATACAAACACTGACTGATCTACGTTTTATAGAGCCTACAACTTGTAGAGCTCATGTGACTTGATCATAGTTCACACGAACGAATTCAGGGACTTCGTCATAGAGACCGTTCCTGAGGCCTTAGTAGAGCTTATGGAAATGAAGGCTTGCAATTAAACTTTGTTCACCTGAAAGTCAATTTAGCTTTGATGCCAAAGGTGTTCAAACTATTGTTGAAGTTAATTAAATTAATTTCAATGGCACAGTTATAAGCACATGGAATTTTATCACCATCATATTCTACACAGAATTAATGAGATACTGAATAAGAAATGTTAAGCTTAAGGTTCCAGTAGATTATTATTAAAATAAGTCTGAGTGGGACTGGGGCACTAACGCATTACTTCTTACGAAGCAAGTACTGTTTATATAGAGTAGATTTTGGTACTGGGACAGAAACTGGAAGGCAATCAACTGAGTGGATCTTGCTTTGCAAGCCTACACAGGGAAAAGACTGATCCTGGAGAGAGACGTGCGTTCTCCTGGAGGACATTACTCCTGATCTTCTAAGCAATACACTACTTCTTTACCAGCAGAATTTCTCATGGAAGCACTAAAGTTTCTCATGAAGAGTTTGCACAGCTTTAAGTGTGAGGAATCAGACCTACCCTGTTCAGGATTAAAACAGTCTCAGTGTTGGTGTTCCATCCGAGGCAAATCAGCCTCAGAGTCATCTGACAGGGGCGATCCTGCTCCCTATAAATTAATAAACAAGCATTACAGGTATCCAGTAATTGCAAAACTCCTACTCCACAAGAATTCTGTCTGTGTCTGTTAAGACTCACATGCTTAGGATTAGCTATTTGTAGCTGAAGTTGCTTTCATGAAAATGGATGAAGTAAGAGGTCCCTATGTGTATACTTACACATATTCTATTTGTTTGGTTGGGGGAGAGAGTTTATTGTAGCCAGGACTGGCCTCCAGCCTGCTATCTAGCCAAGAATGACCTTGAACTCTTGATCCTCCTGCTTCCAATCCCAAAGTGTTGGAATGACAGGTATACACCACCACCTCTGGTTTTAATACATTAAAAGAATTGTTAGAGAGGTGGCAGAGAGAGCTTAGTGACTCAGAGTACTTATTGGACTCAATTCCCAGCGCCCACATAGTGGCTGACAACATCTGTCATGTCAATCCACTTCCATGGGCTCCTCTTCTGACTGGGCATGCATACAGTATACATGCTGACAGAATATTCATATATATATAATAAATATATAGTTTTAGAAGACATTTTAGAGCCAAATATCATCACAAGCACTAGAGAGATGAGAAGAATTTGAGATCAAGGACAGCCTAGGCTACCAAGTTCCCCCAAAACAAAACAAAAAAAACCCACAAACAAAAAGGACACACTCTGATCTGACATGCCCCCACTACAACCAATCTTTCCTACTCATCCCAAAACAAAACTAAAAATTTGTTGGAACCAAAGCCATTATAACTGTTACACAAAGTAGAGAAAAACATAGTTAAAATAAATGGCCAAAAAGGCACAGGGGCTTAAGAAAGTAACTAAACACTTTGAACTAAGTAAGGGAGCATGTAAAATGCTAAGATCTGAACTAAGTAAGGGAGCATGTGAAATGCTAAGATCTGATAATGGGCTAACAGCAGAGCGAAGCACTGGGAACTCAGGTGGTGACGCTGTACAAGCATAAAGAGCTGAGTTTAGGGCCCAGAATCTACACAGAGAAAAGCTGGGCATCACGCCACATACTAATTGTAATCTCAGCACTGGAGATGTTGACACACATGGATAGCTGTGAATGCTGGCTGAGCAGCCTAGCCTAGTCAGTACATTCCAGGTGAGTGAGAGATCCTGTCTCAGAAAACAAAACAGACAGATCCTGAGATGATAATACAGATAGACAAATATATAGGGGGGCTGGATTAAGGAGAATAGGAGAATGACTGATACTTCAATAAGTCTGGGACACAATCAAGAGGCCAAACCTGAGAATTTACAGTACAGAAGAAAGAACAGAGGTAACATTGAATGAAATAGACAGATTACTTAGTCATATTATCATGGAGAGGGTGGGGGAGAGTAGCTACTGCACAAAAAAGAAAAAAGGGAAGAAATTATCACAGAAAAATTTCCAAGTTTATAGAAAGAAGTAGGCTTCCAGACACAAGAGGCATATACAACTCCAGACAGACATATCCAGAGAGGATACTCTCCATGACATAATACAGTGAGAATGTCAAAATACAAAGTGAAGAAATAATCTTAAAAGCAGCACAAGAAAATGTCAACTCAGACACAAAGGCAGAAATATCAGAATTATCCTAGACCTGCACCTGCAATCATAAGAGCCACTGGAATATGGAATAAAATATCTCCAGCTCTGAAAGTAAAAAACTGTGAGCTGAAAATGCTATGCCCTGCAAACTGTCTTCCAACATGGATTGGGACATAAAGGTGTTTCAAAAGAAGAAACCCAGGCAGCTCATATAAGTGATACCAGAAGTGCAGAAAATTCTCAGTGGGACTTGAGAAGGAGAGAAACAAAACATAGCCTAACTATAGATAAACTAGACCGTGGAAGGAAACAACAACCTAGCAAGTTCTCAGCACTAATATAGTAGCAGGAAAAGAAGTACCAATAATCCAGCAAAGCAGAACATCACCTAGCACAGCCATAGGAAATAGAAAACCCCTTTCCACAACATCTTAAGTGTGAACAGCCTCAACTCACCACTAAAATGATACAAACTAAGGGAGTACTTGGAAAAACAAGAGCTATTATCTATGTGCTGTCTCCAAAAACACACTTAACCAGCAAATGTACTCAAGGACATCAAAGGACAGAAAACAAACAACCAAGCAAAAGTAAAATGAAAACAAGCCAGCATAGCTATTATATCATACAAAGTGAATTTCAAACCAAAGCTAAGTGAAAAAGATAAAAGAGACACTACATATTAATTAAAATAACAATTCATCAAAACATAAAACAATTATAAATCTTTATGCTCCATATATTAGAATCCTTAATTTCATAAAACAAACACTAAAATACATAAATAAAGCACTAAAAGACATAAATAAAACACTAAAAGACATAAGCCCTTATACAATGAGAGTAGAGTATTTCAATATTCCACTCTCAGATTTAAATAGGTCTTTCAAACTGAAAATAAGTAAAGACATTTTAGAGCTAAAATATACTGTGGATGAACTAAACTTTACAAAATATAAAGAGAATATTCCACCCAACAGTACATGGAAATTTCTCCAAAACTGGTCACACCAAAGAACACAAGTCAAGTCTCAACAAATTAAACAACAAAAAGAGGTAATTACTTATCTCTTATCACACCACAATGCCATAACTAGAGATCAATGGTAAGAGAAACTACAGAGATCACAAAAATGCTTAGAAACTAAACAACACACTTCTGAATGGATGATATGTCTTGCAAGAAATCAGACAGAGGATTTTAAACTCTTAGGAGATAACTGATACTGAAATCACCTGCCTTTAGAATCTCCAGGATGTAGCCAAGGCAGTCCACAGAGGACAGCTTATCGTGAGAAGTGTTCATTATTTAAAACCTGAGAGACAGATAACAAATAAATCAACTAATGATGCACCCTGAGGCTTCTCAGGAAACAAGCAGCTGATACGGAACTGAGCACAGCGTAAAAACTAATAAAGATTAAGGGGAAATCAATGACGCTGATGTTAAAAGAATAATACACAAAATCAACCCGAGAGTGGGCTCTTTGAAAAAGTTAAGGACATAGACAAACCTTTACCTAATCTGACAAATAGGAGGAGAGAAGATAAAAATTAGTAAAATTAGATACCAAAGGCTGCCATTACACTGACTTCGGGAAAGCTCAGAACATCACTAGAAATAACAGTGAAAACCTGAACTCAGCTGAATAACCTGGAAGAAATACAAGAATTCCAAAAACATATCATGTACCAAAATTAAGCCCTGAAGATAGAATGCAAGCCAATCCATTACAGCAACGAGATTGAAGCTGTTACTGAAAGTCTCTCCTTGAAGGCAAGGCCAGGACCAGGTAGATTCACTGCTAAAGTTTATCAAGCTTCCAAGGAAGCCCCATATCAATTCTTAACTTGTTCCATAAAATAGAACATGAAGGAACACTGCCAACTAGATAAAGACACCACACACACACACACACACACACACACACACACACACACACACTCACACGGGGGTGGGGGGACTACAGACCTACTTTCTCAATGAACACAGATGCAAACAGCATCAAGAAAATACTTGCAAACTGAATTCAAGAGTAAGTTTAGAAGATTATATATCACCAGGCATGGTGGTGCAGACCTTAATTAAATTCAGCATTCAGGAGACAGAAGAGGGTATCTCTGTGAGTTCAAGGCTAGCCTGATCTACATAGGCAAGTTCCAAGACAGAAGAGACCTTTTCTCACCAAAAACAAAACAAAAAAAGAAGAGGAGGAAAAGGAAGATTAGATATTATGACTAAGTAGGCTCAATCCGAAAATCAAGGTTGATTCAACATACATAAACTCCAAAGACAAAAATCATATAACTATATCAATCGAAGCTCAAAAGTTATTTGACAAAGCTCATCATGCCTTCATGATAAGAATTCTGGAGACTTTAGAAATAAATGCTTCATACAACAAATCTACAGCTAACAATCTTAGCGTTTTATTGCTGTGAAGAGACACCACAACCATGGCAACTCCTACAAAGGTAAACAATTAAGGCCTGCTTACAGTTTCGGAGGTGTAGTCTAATTCAGCATGGTGGGAAGCATGATGACACACAGGCAGTCATGGTGAAAGAGGAGGTGAGAGTTCTATTTCTGGATCCGGGCAGCAGATGAGAGAAAGCCATTGGGCCTGGCTTGAGCTTTTGAAATCTCAAAGCCCACCCCCAGTGACACATTTCCTCAAACAAGGCCAAACCTACTTTAACAAGGCAACACTTCCTAATATTGCATTCAAATATATGAGCCTATGTGGGCCATTCTTAGTCAAACTACCACACCATTATATCAAATGAAGAAAAACTCAGAGAATTTCCTCTAAAATCAAGATCAAGTATTTCACTCTTCTCTCTCTCATTTGATACAGTGCTCAAAATCTTAGCTAGAGCAATAAGACAAGATAAAGACATAAAGGGAATAAGTTGAACCATTCCTATTGTCAGGTAACAAGATTGTTTACTTAAAAGTACTGTTGAATCTACTAGAAAATCCTCAGTCATAATAAACACTTGCCATAAAGTTGCAGTATACAAAATCAACACAAACAGAAGTAGTCCTCATTTACACCAACAGTTACAGTCCAAGAAAGAAATTAGAAAAAATATTCCATCCAAAATAACTCCTGCCAAAAGTTAAGTATTTAGGAACATACCTAACCAAAAAAGTAAAAGACCTCTATGACTGAAATTTCAGGATACTAAAAAAAAAAAAAAAAATCACAGAAGATACTAGACAATGAAAAATATTTCATGTTCCTGGATAGGTAGAATTAATACTGTGAAAATGTCTATACTACCAAAATTAATATACAGAGTTAAAGTAATACCTGTCAAAATTCCCATGTCATATTTCATAGTCTTAGAGAAAACAATACAGGGATGTGTATGAAACCACAGGAGAGCATGGAGAACCAAGGCAGTGCTAAGGAGACGAGCAATACTGGAGGTCACAGCACCATAACACATGCTCTACTGCAGTGATAAAGCCAGCGGGCACTGGAAAAGAACAGACAGGTAGGCCAATGGAATCATATGAGGGACCCAAAATAAAATGGCAGAGCTATGCCCACTTAATTTTTGATAAAGAAGACAAAAACTCCTTCAAGAAAAAGCCTATTCAACAAATGGTGCTGGCAAACTAGATTTCTAAGTGCAGAAAAATTAAATTAGCTTTATATCTTTCACATTACATCAAACTAAGTAGAAGGGATACCCTTCAAGATATTTGGGTAGGCCAGACAATTTCAACACCCACAGCACAGGAACAAACCCCAGTAGCAAGAGCCAAGAGTGTGAGAGAGTATGTTTCTAAACAGCAAAGGAAACAGTCAGCAGAGCTAACAGACAAGCCACAGAATAGAAGAGTCCACACTTCAGACAAGAGGCTAGTATCCAGAATTCACAAAGAATTGCAAAAATTAAATGCCCAGGAAATAAAACTGCCAATCAACTTACACATACTGGCAAATGAAATGGGTTCTACAGCTTCTGAAAAAAGAAATACAAACAGCCAATAACTGTTTTCAAGTGTTCAATATCCCTTGTCATCAGAAAAAATACAAATTAAAAGTGCTTTGAGATACCACTTCATGCTGGTCAGGATTGTCATCATCGACAAATCTGACAACAAACGTTGGAAAGGATGTGGAGAGAAAGGAATCCTTGTTCACTGAAAACTAATACAGCCACTGCAAAAATGAATTTGGTGGTTTTTCAGTTAAAAGTTGAACCATATGGACCTGCGTCTTCTCCTGAATATCCACACCCTACTATAGAGATCTTGCACACCATGTTTACTGTTGCTTCATTCACTAAAGCAAACACTAGAATCAGTCTAGCTTGTGTGTGTGTGTGTGTGTGTGTGTGTGTGTGTGTGTGTGTGTGTGTGTG